TGCCAGCCCTCCTCTCCCCCCCCATCCCAGGCCCCTCCCGTCGTCCTGGTCCGCCGTGTCACGAGGTGACTCTGTGGGTCGGCCGGCGGCACAGTGGCCGCTTGTTTGTGTGGCTGTCTGGGTGGGTGTCTGCGCCCTCGAAATACCCCGCCGCCCGCCGCCGCACCCCGGGGACCCCCGGGGCCGCCGCCCCCCAGCCCCTCCCGGCCTGAGACCTCCCCCCGGGGGGAGGACCCGGCCTTGGCCAGAGTGGCTCTCCCGGCGCGGGGTGGGGGGGTTGGGGGGTGGGTGTGTTCACAGCCAGCATTGATTTTCCGCCGACCTGTTGTTCTCGAAAGGTCCAGAGACCCTGGGGGGTGCAAAGTGGAGAGGGGACGACTGGGGGATTGGGGTGGAGGGGAAGGAGAGGAGGGCAGCCGGCTCTAGCCCAGAGCTCTAACCCCGTACTCCCCTCCCGGGTGGCTGTCACCCTGCGGGACTAACAAGCCACCTGGCAGCACGCCGCTATCTTTCTTTTCTCTTTCTTTTCTTTTTTTCTTTTTTGAGTCGGAGTCTCACTCTGCCTGTCGCCCAGGCTGGAGGGCAGTGGCATGCTCACAGCCACCGCAGCCTCAACCTGCAGGACTCAGGCAGTCCTTCCACCCCAGCCTTCCAAGCAGCTAGAACGACAGGCGCGCCACCACGCCTGGCTAATTTTGGATTCATTGATTTATTGTAGAGAAGAGGTCTTACCATCTTGCCCAGGCTGGTCTGGAACCCCTGAGCTCAGGCCATCCTCTCACCTCCACTTCCCAAACTGCTGGGATGACAGGCGTGAGCCAGGGTGCTACTTTCAAGATGACAGTGGAAAAGATTCCACTCCTGCAGGCGTGGGTGGGGAGGTGTGTGGTCACCCCCTTGCTCCCTCCCACCCCAAATCCGTTTTCACTGCGGTGGAGACCGGGTGTACCTCACCCACCGCAAGACTTCACGATGGGTGTTAAAAACAGAAGCCAAAATTTCCACCTCTGCCGGCCGTGCTGTCTCTGCTGGCGAGAGCTGGCATTCCTGTCCACCCCAGTGCTCCTGGCCAGGGCTGCTTCTCTGGTCTCGTTTCTGCTCTTACCCAGACTGATGCTTCCAGCATGTTCCTACTTACTCCTTGATTCTTCCCACCCCTTTTGATCTTACAAGGAATGCATGTTGTAATAGAAAAACTAGAAAATGCAGACAGGCAGGCAGGAAGAAAAAAACGTGAAAAACGTCAACTGAAATCCTGTCACCTTGAGAACCACGCGTTGGCTTTTAGGTGAACGTCTTTCCAGAGATGTCCTCGTGCAAAAGATATACAAATATTGGTTACAAAAAATGTGAGAACGCATAGGAGAGTGTTCTGCAACCAGTTTTTTCTTACTTACTTAGAAAAATAGACCATGAATGGCGTCTCACGCCAATAAATAAACCCCAGTGATTCTCTGTGTGCTCCAAACCCTTGTCACCACGGCTTGCAACTCCTTTTTTATTTTTAAATTGTAATAGCTTAGTCGGGCTCGGTGGCTCAGCCTGTAAGCCCGCACCTTTGGGAGGTTGAGGTGAGTGGAGTGCCTGAGCCTGCGGGTTCGAGATCCGCCTGGGCAACTTGGCGAGACCTCATCTCTACGATAAATCAAAAATGAGCCGGGCGTGGTAGCACGCACCTGTAGTTCCGGCTACTGGGAAGGCTGAGGCGGAAGGATCGCCGGAGCCCAGCAG